CGAGAAAATATCTTCCATACGAGATGTGTAGTTGATGGGAAGTTGCTGTCTCTAGTGATTGATGGAGGAAGTTGCACGAACGTTGTGAGCGCGTGTGCGGTGAAGAGGCTAGGGCTGCCTACGCTGAAGCATCCAAAGCCATACACGCTGCAATGGCTTAACGATCACGGATCCATCAAAGTCACAAAGCAGGCACTAATGAAGTTCGAGATTGGAGATTACAAAGATGAGATTTAGTGTGATATAGTGCCTATGCAAGCTGCACATGTGCTTTTTGGCAGGCCATGGCAGTTTGATCGACAAGCACAGCATGATGGAGTGACAAATAAGTACAAGTTGCAACATGGAGGAAAGAAGTTTGTGTTGAAGCCTCTGTCTCCAAGTGAAGTATATCGAGATCAACTCCAAATGCAGCAACGTCGAGAGCAAGAAAAGGCAAGTAATGCCTCGGCCAAGAAAGGAGAAGACGGAGCTGGAATTGTGGATTCGAAGGCAGTGATGCTAGCACGCAATGGAGATTTGAAGCAAGCTGCCTGTGCACGAGAACCTTTGATTGTGCTCATGTATAGGGACGTGCTGCTCAATCAAGAGCTAGTCCAAGAAGTTCCAGCCGAAGCAAGAGTGGTGTTGGATGAGTTCGAGGATGTGTTTCCAGAGGAAGCACCGAAGGAGCTGCCTCCTATTCGCGGAATTGAGCACCAAATTGATTTCGTGCCGGGAGCTCAAATTCCAAACAAGGCAGCATATCGAGCTAACCCGGAAGAGACCAAAGAGCTGCAAAGGCAGATTGACGAGCTCATGGAGAAGGGGCATGTTCGAGAAAGTTTGAGCCCGTGTGCAGTTCCGGTGATTCTCGTGCCAAAGAAGGATCACACCTGGCGGATGTGTGTAGACTGTCGAGCCATCAATCAAATTACAGTTAAGTATCGTCATCCAATTCCACGATTAGATGATATGCTTGATGAATTACATGGCTCTACGGTGTTTTTCAAGATTGATTTGAGATCAAGTTACCACCAAATTCGTATGAAGGAGGGAGACGAGTGGAAGACTGTGTTTAAGACCAAGCAGGGTCTATACGAATGGATGGTGATGCCCTTTGGTTTAACCAATGCTCCTAGCATGTTCATGAGGTTGATGAACCATGTTTTGAGGCCATTCATTGGCAAGTTCGTGGTCGTATACTTCGACGACATTCTGATCTACTCGAAGTGCATGGAGGATCATCTCAATCACTTGAGAGAGGTGCTGGCAATGTTGAGAAAGGAGAAATTGTATGCTAACCTCAAGAAGTGCTCGTTTTGCACTTCTAGTGTTATTTTCCTTGGTTTTGTGGTGAGTGCAGATGGAGTCAAGGTGGACGAAGAGAAGGTGAAAGCAATTCACGATTGGCCTATTCCAACCAACGTGAATGAGGTGCGGAGCTTTCATGGGCTTGCTGGATTTTATCGTCGATTTGTGCCCAACTTCAGCACCATTGCCGCACCATTGACATCCATCATCAAGAAGCCTTAACGGGTTTGCTTAACGGGTCCAGCCTTAACGGGTTTGCTTAACGGGTTCAGGCTTAACAGTTTGGGCTTAACGGGTTTGCTGGGCTATTTTCGGGTTTCCTTGTTTTAAAGTCGGTTTATGATTGTTTTTCCATGTTGGAGTTGGATTTGGGTTGTACTTTGCCTATTTAAAGGGCTGAACACGTTGGTTTTGTTTTTAGATGATTATTATTGAATTTCGGAGGCTATTGCCGAGTTCCCTACACGGAATTTGCCCTAATTACTCTGTTGAGAATTTCCAGAGTGCTAGAGCGACTCTTATCAGCTAGGTATTCACCCTGGTTGTGGCGAGCTACCCATATCGATTGCCCTTTATTCCGAGTTGAATCTGTCCGATCGATTCATATATCGATTGCCCTTATTCATAGGTGAGTATTGTCCGATCGATTTCCATCCTATCCGGTTCTGTTTGGTTTGAGAAGCTTGACCCTGCGCAACTTTGATTATATCAAAGGGGGTCAGCTCAAGATCCCCATATGCTGACACCAGCGGGGCGGTTGTCTCCACCCGGTCCGCCGCTCCTCTGTATCGCTTCAGTAATGACACGTGGAAGGTGGAATGGATGCGCGCATCGGCTGGCAACTGCATACGATATGCTACCGGGTTAATCTTCTGCAGTATCTCATAGAACTCAAAGTAACGAGCTGCCAACTTCTGGTAGGCACGGCGAAAGACGGAAGCCTGCCTGTAAGGGTGGAGACAAAGCAGAACCCAGTCCCCTACCTCAAACTCCTCCTCGCGACGTCCTGCATCGACCATCTGCTTCATCTTATTGTTGGCGGCCGCCAGGTTGGCTTGAGCTGCTCCAAGGCCTCATCCTGGGTCTCTAGCTAGCGATCCACCGCATCTACCTAGCTGGTGCCACTCTAGTAGCGGACCAAGAAAGGTGGAGGCCTCCCATAAAGAGCCTCAAATGGCATCGTCTGGATCTCCCTATGGTAAGTAGAGTTATACCATAACTCGGCCCATGGCAACAGAGCCAACCACCGCCTCGGCTGCTGATGGGCAAAGCAGCGCAGGTACTGCTCCAGGTAATGGTTAACCACCTCCGTCTGGGCATCTGTCTGTGGATGGTAGGCGAAACTCATCCGCAGTGTGGTCTGTGCCATAGCAAACACCTCCTTCTAGAAGCGGCTCAAGAAAACGGAGTCCCGGTCACTAACAATAGATCTCGGAAACTCGTGATGTCGCACGACCCCATCACAAACTGCTCTGCCACTGACCGAGCTGTGTACGGGTGTGACAAGGCCATGTAATGGGCATATTTCGTCAGTTGATCAACGACGACGAACAGGACTGTCTTTCCTCCGGAGGGGGGAAGGCCGACGAAGAAGTCCATGCTAATGTCCTCCCACACCTGCTCTGGTAGCGGCAAAGGCTGCAAGAGGCCTCTCGGTCTCAGATGAGACGCCTTGACCCGCTGTCAAGTATCGCACGACGCGACATAGTCCTCACGTCCTAGCTCATATGGGGCCAATAAAACTGTGCCCGGATCCGCCGCAGCGTCCGCTCGACCCCCGAATGCCCTCCAAATGGAGATTCGTGATACTTCTGCAGCACGGTCGTCACTAGTGAAGATCCCCACGGAAGGACAAGGTGCCCACGAAATAATACCAACCCCCTGTCGGAAGGAATAATGGCCCGAAGATTCACTGACTGCTGTATCCCGACAACCCTGCAGGTATGCATCGGTCTCCGTAAGAGCCCGTAGCGCGTCCCAGAACTGGGGGACCGGCCCCGTCACTGCTGCCAGTACCTCGCCCCCAAAACGTCGCGAGAGCCCATCTGCCACGACGTTGGAAGGACCTGGCCGGTAATGAATCTCATAATCATACCCAAGGAGTTTCGAGACCCACTTGTGCTAATCGGGAGTGGATACTCGTTGCTCCAAGAGGTTCCTCAGACTCTGATGGTCGGCGTAAATGTGGAACTTCTGGCCCAGAAGATACGATCGCCACATCTGCACTGCTGTGATGATAGCATGCATCTCCTTCTAGTAAGTAGACCAAGCCTCCTTGGATGGAGCCAAGGTCTTACTCATATAGGCCACTGGGTGACGATCCTGAGATAAAACCGCCACTATACCTCGGCCAGAAGCATCCGCCTCAATCACGAAAGTCCGGGAGAAATCCGGCATGGCTAGGGTCAGAGTGGTGGTCATGGCCTGCTTTAGCTGCTGAAATGTCGTATCTGCTTCTGATGTCCATACAAACTCGCCTTTCTTCAACAGGTTAGTCAGGGGCCGAGCGATCATACTGTATCCCTGCACAAACTTCCGGTAGTAACCGGTCAAACCTAGGAACCCTTGCAGCTCCGAGACAGTGATCGGGGTTGGCCACTCGACCATAGCCTGAATCTTCGACAGATCCACCTGGACCCCCTGTGGTGTGACAATGTGGCCCAGGTACTCAACCTTCTGCACCCCAAATGCACACTTTGAAGCTTTGAGGTAGTACTGGTGGCGTCGTAGAATCTCAAACACTGCCTGCAAATGCTGCAAATGCATCTCCCAAGATGGACTGTAGACCATAATATCATCAAAGAATACCAGCACATACTGTCTCAAGAGAGGCCGAAAAATGTCATTCATCACCGCCTGAAAGGTCGAGGGGGCATTGCACAAGCCGAATGGCATGACCAAGTACTCATAATGGCCATTATGAGTCCGGAAAGCGGTCTTGTGCACATCCTCCTCCTGCATCCGAATCTGGTGGTACCCTGCTCGCAAATCGAGCTTACTGAAGTAGGCCGATCCGTGGAGCTCGTCGAGCATATCATCCACCGTCAGGATCGGAAATCGGTCCTTCACTGTCGCGGCATTGAGTGCCCGGTAATCCGTGCAGAATCGCCAAGTCCCATCCTTCTTCTTAACCAACAGCACCGGTGAGGAAAAGTGACTGGTGCTAGGCCGAATCTGGCCGGTCGCGAGCATCTCCTCCACCTGTCACTCGATCTCCTCCTTCTGGGAGTGGCCGTATCGGTAAGGACGAACATTCACAGCCTCTACCCCTTCCTTGAGCTGAATGCGATGGTCAACCTGTCGGTGGGGAGGTAATGTGGTCGGTGTCTGAAAGAGCTTCGAAAATCCTGCCATCACCTGTTAGCGGTTGGGGGCCAGCTCCTGATCCTTAGTCGACGCCACAGGCCAGCATCGGACCGCCAACTCCACCTCCTCCCCGATGGCGCACTCGTGGAGAGAAACCGGGCCTAGGGTCGTGGTAAGCCCCTGCAAGCACCACTCCTTATCTTGCCATTTGAATTGCATGGTTAAGCTACGCCAATCGGTGGTGACTGGTCCCAGTCCCTGCAACCATGGAACACCCAAAATCATGTCAAACCCGCGAATGGGCAGCACAAACACACCCGCGGTGACGGGCAGTCCTTGAATCTCGAACGGAAGCTCCCGATAGACGGCCTTGCACTACATAAGTGCCCCATTCGCTACTCGGATCACCATTGGATCCATCGAGCTTGGAGCCTGTGGGAGAAGCTTGGCTAGTTCCTCGCTAATAAAGTTCAGGGTGGCGCCACTGTCCACCAAGGTTAGGACCATGGTACAGGCAACCTGAGCCAGGAAACGGAGAGTCCCCGGTGTCGGCAGCCCGGTCACTGAACGGAGAGAGAGAAAGACAGAGTCACCCCTTCCCTTGTCGATCCCCCGGTCGCTACGCTCGGCGGGGCGCCGCCCAGCCGCCGCCTCGGCCCGCGGCGTCTCCCTCTGTCGCGCCGCCGCTGTGACCATGCCGCCACTGTCGCCCTCCGTCAGCGATCGCTGCGGCCCGCCGTCTGCCGTCCTTGTCCGCGGCGCCTCCTCCTACTGCGGTGCCTCTGCTGCCGCGATACCGCGGTCGCCTCCAATCGCCGGCCGCCTCGGCCGGCCGGCCGCCACAGTCTGCGGCGCCGCTCACAGTCTCACCGCCGCTGCAGCCACAACCTCCCTGCCCTGTTCGCGCGCGGTTCGAGTTTGGTTAGCCCGGATGGCATCAGTCTGTTGCTTCACACAGGTCCAGTCCAGATCAGAGAGTCGTATCGAGCTCATGGTGGCTCTGATACCAAATGATAGAGGAGAATAGGGTTGGGAATTGAGAAGAAGAATTTGGGATTTGAGGAAGAATTTGAGAAGAACAGAGAGAAGAGGGATTTAGGGATTTTGATATTCTTATTGTTTAATCTCAAATGAACGTACTGACCCCTCTTTTATGAGTTTCAGAAAACTAACAAGAAATAACAAAACTGCCACTCAACCTGACCCACATGGCCAAACCCAACCCGCCATACCCACCGAGCGGGTCTCTATCAAATGCCATGTATTGGTTTCATTTCAGTCGATGGTTAGAGTTAAGTATTCTTTTGGTGAATCGAGAAAGGTCAACTCATTCGAATGTGTATAAAAAATTATAATTTCAAGAAGTAAAGAGAGGATGGTACAATTCAAGATAACAAATTATTTGAGATGGATGCTTCCACTGAATGATCATTATATTGGAGCTAAAATATGATTAAGCAAAAGTTAAATACAAATAATTTGCGTTATATATCTTACAAGTCAATAATAGGATTAGACAGTGAATATACAATCATATCTATTAGGGGTGTTTTATGGTTCGGTCTGGATCAAACTAAACTCAAGAGAACCTTGATCCAATAGTGAAAGTCATCTTAGGACCAAGGACCAGACCAACAATAAATTTGGTCTGATTTGATCTAGTTTTCTACGGACCAAATGTCTTCTATCCTTTTTTTCATTGTTTATAAAATTCATGTAACCGTGAACCAAAGTGTATTATATTAGATTCGATATGATATAGTCCATACATTGATTTGGTCCGATGCAGATCAACCCGGTCACTGCACACCTAGTTGCAGTCCACGTAGACGGACAACTTTTATCAATACAGATTGCAGTAAATCAATTCGAGTGGATCGGTTCGACCACGATCTATTGGTCTAACTCAGCCCATCTTACATTCTTACTCATAGCTTCGGATGGTGCTCTATTTAATTGACTTTGGGCTTTCTACATTAGCATCTGGTCCTATCATGCACGAAACGAGCCTTAAATACAAGCAAGTATATTAAGAGCCTTCATTATGGCCCAGTGAAATTATATTGGGCCGAAGAATATTTAAACGTGGGCTAGTGGGCTGGGCTCGCCAACTTCTTACTGAGTGAGGCAATGACGTTGACGAATTCGGTCTTCTCATTGGCCATTCGCTCCGACACGATGGCCGCGTACCTCCTGAAAACCTCGTCGATAACTTCTACCCCGCCGGCACCAAAGTGGCTGACCAGTAGCGGCTCTGCCACCGCTCTGATGCAGTTTGCCACGTTGTATCCGGCGCCGTTTTCCATGTTGCATTCATCTGTGCCGCTGAGCTCGCCGTTGCAGACAGCCCAACTTACGTCGGAAACCTCCAGGCGATCGATGGCGAAGGATCCCTGTCTCTTTACTTCCGCTTCCACCTCCGTCGGCGACGGCATGTATTGTGGGATGTTGAAGCTGTCCAACTTCTCCTGATCTATAATTCCCTGGGGCGTATAGATAAAAGTAAGCAATTAATTTTCTCAAGTGAAAAGGTCAGAAGTTCTGTCAAGAAATAAACTAGGCCAGTCATGGTAAAAATATCCGCAATCCCAATCCGACCTAATTGGATAGAATAAAATCCAAAATCGATGAATTATGAGTCGATATGGATAATATCTGAATCTCAATATTACCGGTGATGGGTGAGTATGGTTTTCTTATTATCCAATCCAACATCTAGGTTATACACATGCATATATATTTTTGTCTATGAACGATCATTATTTTTCTCCACATATTTGTTATTTATTATACATATATATAATAATAATTTCTTGCAATTGTGTTGCCTTTTACTAATTTTTTAGTCATATTGATTCATTATCGTAATTTTTCACTTGCATAATGTCACTATACGTGTAAATGTTAGCATGTAGGGATGGCAATGGGTCGGGTCGGGGACGGATAGTGCATATCCGTTACCCTACCCAAAGTAGTTCGGGTTTTACCCATACCCATACCCACATATAAAACGGGTAGAAAATTAAAACCATGCCCATACCTGTTCGGGTTTCGGGTATCCACGGGTATCCATGGGTAATGATTTCTCTTCATAACTACAACTAATATGTTAACATTCACACATGTTCTCACATTACGCAAGAGGAAAAGTATGACAATAATTCACTAGAATGAAGAAAATTAATTAAAACAACACAATTTCATGAAAATATTATATTTATATGCTAAATATAAAATATGTTAGAGAAAAATAATGACTATTTCTAGACAAAATACATATGTATGTGTATAATCGGGCGGGTTCGGGTTGGATACTGAGAAACTCATGCCCACCCATTACCCGCAATATTCGGGTTCGGGTTTTACCCGTACCCACTAAATATCCTTCGGGTTCGGGTTTTACCCTACCCGATTAGGCCGGGTTCGGGTGGATATCCACGGTTACGGATATTTTTGCCATCCCTATTAGCATGTTGGTTGGACTGATAAAGAAAAACTATTACTCATAGATATATAATCGTGTATGCTCGAAACCTTATCCGATATGGTCATGATTCTAATTTTGTAGCTCGATTTTGTATGGGTATGAATTTGTGAATTGAACTATTTTGGATAGGATCAAGGATATGCACAACTCACCCCCTACCCGATCCATTGTCATATTTAAACTAGTCCCAATAACTTGAGTTGTTGTAAGAGGCTCAATAATTGATCTTATATCACATACTAATACGCAGCCTCAAATGAAAACCTGCTTATATTATATGGGCTTGAAATTTGCGGTTCCATCAAACACCATGTCCTTATCAATGAGGTCACTAAAAATTCCAATAGAAAACATCTCGATTATAGTCAGTGGCGGATTCAGAAAATTTACACAGGGGTGTCCTCTTCAAAAATTAAATTTAATTATATAATAAATCAAATAATTCGTATAATAAAAATATCATACTTGTATAATTTGTATAATTTTTTTTAAATAATAAATTAAAATTCATATTTTGAAAAAAAATATAAATAAACTCCGTGTCTGCACTGTTCAAAAATCACATATCCTACTAGACAATACTTCACGAACTTATCACATATTCGATTTCTAACTTTGTTCTTAATGTAGCTCAAAGTAGAAAAGACTCTTTCAACACTTGCCGTGTAACCATAAAATCAATTCAAAATTAAGGATAACGTGTAAGTAGTTTAATTATTAGGTATTGAAAATAGTTGGGGATAAAGAAATAGCGTTTTCCTGTTGCATGATGTTTAAAATAGAATAACAAATGAGTAGCAACATAATTAGAATATGTTTGATAATAGTAGTGTCCTAGGTTGGAATAACACGGACTACCACTTATATTTGTTAATCATAAGCAAACTATTATCGAGGGTAGGATAATCATTTTTTCAAATGTTAGGGTGTCCCGGATTACCAATTATATTTTGTATACCCATACGAAACTACTAGTGGAGGTTGGATAATCGTTTCCCCAAATTTTAGAGGTGTCTCGATCGGGACACCCCTAGAAGCTCATGTATCCGCCCCTGATTATAGTAAACTCAAGTTGTTGGAAAATGTTCAATAATAAATTTTATACCATGTAATAACACTATACACTGACTGAAGGTAGGTACCTGGGAGGCCATTTGGTTGAGAGCAATGGACAGAAGCTCCCAGATATAACCAGCCTCTCTACTGTCACGCTCTTCACTTCTCCTCCCAAGGTACGTCAAAACCATCCGCCCTCCGGCCACCAGCTCCACCGCTCGACACTTCAAGAACGATCCAAAATCGCTCTGAAACTGCCTGTAATACGCTACCAAAACACCTTCAGGGCTGCTTCTAGCCATGTGAATGTTCCCCTTGTTCGCTTCCACTACTTGTTCAGGTACCCGAGACAACCAGTGAAGGCTGTAGGACGAGTGGACGAAGTGAAGGCTGTCGGCTGGGAAAAGCCGGCCGTAGAACGAGCCAGGAACTCCATTGATGAACACAGAGTACTCTGAATTCAGCCTTTCCTGGAAGCTCTGTACGGACCTGAAGATGGTGTTGAAGTCGTTCCCCGGGAGGTCGTTGAGGAACACGTGGAATTCAGGGTATTTGCAGTGGGCCTGCTCGTCGCATAATCGGCCAACGAACTTGATGAGATCTGACACGACGAAGAGAGCGTTGGGCCCGGACGAGCAGCCCAAATCGGCGACTGCTAGTTTTGCTGGGAAGCTCATCGACGTGTGGAGTTTCCTTATCGCCTCCTCCGTGATCGGCCTCGTCATCCGTATCACCGTTTGCTTCAAGTTAACATGAAGAAGAAGAAGTAGTAGCAAATGGTGAGTATTGCAAAGTTATGTGATCGTATTGGAAATATATGTAGTGATTACCTGAAGCAAGGAGTTCGTGGCGTAGCTAGTTCCTCCCGTCCCTGAATTCATGTGAAGCACTTCAGCAACTTCCGTTAATGGCGTCTCCTTGTCCATTAGTACCTGTGTTGAGCTGGTTATAGGTTTTTGTTTATGGCATTCTAGAGAGTGTGGCAACGTTTTGGGCATCTAATTATTTATAGAAGGGAGCAGAGGCGCAAGTCGGTGGATATTGAACCTGATCGAATCAAATTGAATATAATATGATTGAGTTTCGATTTTGTACGTCAACTCTATTTAAGTAGAGGAGCGGAATCAAACTTTGTGATCGATTAGTTTAATTTTCACTTTTTTTTCTTGTTTACGTTACAATGACGAATCAGTTATAACAAGTATCAATCCCAATACCTAACCTTTAAGTACACATAAGGATAAATGGCTAGGGCTGGGAAACGGTGCGGTCTGGTCTATATACGATCTATGATCCAGACCGAGAGGCTGAAGTATAGACCACAGACTGTCCGGTCCAGACCACGCTTGTGCTGTCTGGTTAGGTCTGGTCCAGATAGACCACACTCAACAAAAAGTGAATAATTTATTTAGTCAACCACACAAAAATTGAACCAATAACCAAGAAAAATAATTGTCATTTGCCTTAAAACATTAATCCTAATGCCCTGTTCACCTCCCATTTCATTTTCACTATAAATGGCATCTGCCATTTCACTATAAGTGGGGGTTGTAAAGTCGGGGGGAAAGAGACTTGGAAACGAACGACGAGTGATGGGACGAATTAGGGTAAGTGGTCCATCGATCTAGCTACTGGATAGAAGCAGTAGAGGCTTAAGCTTTCCATTGTTGGGTATGGCAAGTACGTACGTACTGCATGCACATGGATACACGTAGAAACAGCACAGCCTTACAAATTGCTTCTTTTTTTATCTTTCTAATTAATCACTTTACCCAAATTAAGCTTACATGTGTACTTAATCATACTTTAAAATTAAGTAAGAGGGATTAAGCTTACATGTGTACTAACAAACGTATGTAGCTGAAAAACTTACAGCAACGCATGCACGGGCAGCATCGAAGTACGTACCGACTCTTCATTAATGGCGTGTTAAGAGGATTAACCGCGCACAAATGTATGAGGTTAATTGGCACGATATGTTCTTGGATATTATCACTACTTAGCCCGAATTAAAGTTTAGTGGAGTCGCTTTTTTTAATCACAGACGTACGTAAAAAGGTAGGAAAAAATACAAAGAACAGATTCACGTAACCAAATGCATTAATCGGTTTAATGTGAAATTATAGATAAAAAGACTTATTTTGCCACAAAGTGGCCAGTTCTATTAAAATGACGAATAACAAAATCATACCTAATAGTCGAGATGGGCAGACGGCCATGTCATGACTCACGATAAGTGCTTGCTCAACATGTTCTTTCCTCGTGATTGTGTATCTTTCCCATTTCTCTTTCTCATTAATAATAGATTCATCATTCATAAAAAAAAATTACTTCTCATCTTAATCATAGTTGAAAAGTGGCATTCTGATAATTAGCTAAAATACGCATTAGTCACACAAGCAAATAGACTAACACATGCAGTCAAATTATAAAATGGAATTTATGACCAAAACTATGTATATTAATATACCAAAATTCTATGTTTAAAAATTCTTTCTAGCTACTTATAGCCAGAAGATTTTTTCTGTATATCTAGTAGAACAAGAAATGTTTTAAACTTAAGAGTTAGAATAACGATTTTAAATTTTATCTTATCGATGGTGTTATTTATTTGCATATATTTTAATTTTGATGATATGTTTCTAACATACTCATATTCAATAAGTACTAACACATATTTATCTTTCTTATTTTCCAATTGAAGTCCTAGCACCCCACTCCTCTCTACCTCGATCCCTCCGCTTCTAAATACTATTATGAAGTAATTGTTTGATGATCATTTATAGTGACAAAGTCAGAAGATCGACAAAGGAACGACCCTACAAAATTTGTAGCTTTGGAGAATTGCCTGAAACATGGACTTTTTGTCTCCAGAGCCTAAATTGAAAGTCTAATTGAACTATGGGCTCAATAAATAAGGTTATCACATGAAATATAACCTTCTGGTCTTGGAGACCTTAATTGCGAAAAAATTGGCGGCCCTCTTCTTCTTGATCTTATTAAGATCTTCAATGGTGGCTAACACTAATCTTGAAATTTATTTTTTTGATGAATACTAATCTTGAAATTTATTATAGCCTTCTGGCTGCGAAACATTGTATGAGTCCAAATTTTGCAAATCATGGTTTGGTAGCTTAAGCCTTGAAGATAATAAATAACCGTAAAATGTGGCAAGTTTAACGACAATCAACCTAACTTTAATTACTAGCTAAAGTGCTATATTTTATTTTGCATGGCTGGCTTTGAGAATAACAATAAATACGTGCTCCTATCTTGCAAGACATAATCCCGTCAAAAAAGGAAAATCTTGCAACACATAAGATTTGAAATACAAAAAGAGCCTTCATAATGGGCCAGTGGAGTCATATTGGGCCATACGACGAACAAAAAACAAAAGTTCTTTTGGGCCGACGAACATTTAAACATGAGCTAGTGGGCTCACCGCCGTCTTAGTGAGCGAGGCAGTGACGTTAACATATCTGGTCTTCTCGTTGGCCATCCGCTCCGACACGACGGCAGCGTACCTCCTGAAAACCTCGTCGATGACTTCCCCGCCGGCATTGAAGTGGCTGACCAGCAGCGGCTCCGCCACCGCCCTAATGAACTTCGCCACGTTGTATCCGACGACGCCGTTTCTCGCGTGTCCTACACCGGTGCCGCTGATCATCAGTTCGTCGTCACTGCAGGCATCCCAACTGACTTCGGAAACCTCCAGGCGGTCGATGGCAAAGGATCCCTGTTTTTTCACTTCCGCTGCCACCTCTGCCGGCGACGGCGTGTATAATGGGATGTTGAAGCTATCCAACTTCTCTTGATCTATCATTCCCTGGGTGCGTAGTGGTAAAAGTCGTTATTGAAAAATCTAACCCTCTAATCCTAAACCCTTCAAATCAAAATAAATCGTGAATAACTTCTATACAAAGTCATACATTTTTTTATCTGTCATTTCACAAGTAACGATCGATATTTTGACATGAATCTATCAGCTTCAAATATCGATTGTACACCCAACAAAAAATGAGTACCCGATCGAAAACAAACCTATTCAAATTATAGATGTGACATTTTTCTTTGACACAACGTGTAACATGTGACTTCATTTCCTGTATGGCAAAAGCACAACAACCACTTTAGTGCCAACACCATTTTTTTCTCAAATCTGTTACCATTCCAATCTTCGTATGAAACACGTGGACATATCCAATTCATTTCCGATTCCCTTCAAATTTCATTAAAAAAAATTTTTCATTTTCCCTCCAAATCAGCTAATTTTTTGGAATGTGCAATTCAGTTCCGTACCTGAGAGGCCATTTGGTTGAGCGCCGTAGACATCAACTCCCAGGTATAGCAATACTCTTCACTCAAACGCTCTCCACTTCTCTTCCCAATGAACGTCAGAACCATCCTCCCTCCCTCCACCAATTCCACAGCTCGACACTTCAAGAACGACCCAAAATCGCTCCGAAACTGCCCGTAATACGCCTCCAGGACGCCTTCAGGGCTGCTCCTAGCCATGTAAATGTTGCCCTTGTTCTCCTCCAGCCCTCGAGGGAGCCGGGACAGCCAATGGACGCTGTACGACGAGTGGACGAAGTGAAGGCTGTTGGTCGGAAATAGCCGGCCGTAGAACGTGCCAGGAACTCCATTGATGAACATGGAGTACTCGGAATTCAGCTTTTTCTGGAAGCTCTGTACGGACCTGAAGATGGTGTTGAAGTCGTTCCCCGGGAGGTCGTTCAAAAACACCTGGAATTCAGGGTACTGGCAGTGGGCCTGCTCGTCGCATAATCGGCCCACGGTCTTGATGAGATCGGACACCACGAGGAGGGAGTTGGGCCCGGATGAGCAGCCCAAATCCGCTATGGCTAGCTTTGCGGGGACGGTCGAGGTGGTGGTGTAGAGTAATTTCCTAATCGCCTCCTCGGTGATCGGCTTGGTCATCCGTATCACCTTTTGCTTTACAAATTTACAAGTATGGAAATGTGAAACATTGAGAAATTATGTGATCAAAGTGGAAATATGCAGTAACTAGTAATTAATTACCTGAAGCAAGGAGTTCATAGCGTAGCTGGTTTCTTCAATCCCAGGGTTCATGCGAAGCACCTTAGCGACCTCCATTAATGGCCGCCGGCGTACCCTTTTCCTTTGTGTAATTAAATTTCTTTGGGTTTTTTTGGGTGTTTGTTTTTATGGAGTGTGGCAGGGTTATGGTTCTTTGTATTTATACAAGGGACTTACTGTAGGAAGCCATTGAAAATGCTTCCATATATACATACTACTGCAGCAACAACCAACAATTTGTAATGTAGCCAGGTTTTCATTTAAGGTGGGTCACCTCGAAAAAAAAATATGATAAAATAGTTTTTTTTTAATATAATCTTAGTTGAAAACTTTTGATAAATTAAAATGCATTAGCAGTCGAAAATATCAAGAATATCACTCTGCATATATACCAAACAATCATTGATTTAGTTAGTCGTAGTGTTTCAAATGGTGTTCTTTGTTAAGAACCGTTAGTATCAATACCTTGAGTTGTTGATAGAGTTTTAATAATAAATCTTATACCAACTAATAATTCATGATTTACCAAGTCGTTCGCTTTCGAATGATGTTCTTAAAAAAAATATTTAGTATCAATAAATCGAGTTGTTGAAAGATTTCAATAATATTTATATTATACCATTTACTACCATACTCCCTTGTAAGAAAGTCAACTTATACGAAATTGATGTTTGCACAAATCTGTATACTGTATGCTTAAGAAATGAGGTCGCCAAGATTTAAACACAAAACTTTTCGACCAACTATTCTCAATTAAACGCGACCTAATTTTCGATATCAATTAACTATCGTATCTAATTTAACCATTTTCCCCCAAACCAGGATGGGTCCCGTTACCCTCTGCCTCCGCCATCACACCCATGGCATCATTTTCATCAGAACAATCACGTTGTTGAAAATAATGATTCAATCCACCGGACAGATCTTCTGTGAATGTGAAAACCCTCCTCGGTACTTGATCTTGCCACTTGCATACTGATTGAGATTAATTAATTAATAAATGTCAGGAAATTTGCTTTGATTTGCTGTTTATGTAGGGACGATAATCGATAGACTTATTGGATGACACATGAATATTAGTGACACATGAATATTAGGATTGTTATTCTTGGCACTAAAACTCCTTATTCGTTATTCTAATTATGTTAAATTTACTCTAGTGTCTTTAGCTTATCTTTAATATCTCTTAAAATAATTAATATGTTTAATTAATTTGTGTATATAAAATATTCTTTACATTAAATTTTTTGGTAGAATTACATTAATTTTTTAACTGTAAAGATCAATTTCTCCATGGAGATGCTTTCTAATAAGGAAACGCTTTGGATTGCTTGGGTAAAGGAATATAGGCTCCGCAATCTGAGCATTTGGGAAGTTAAAACAAAAGGGTCATGGGTATGGAATAAGATCCTTAAGTTGCGAGATAGTTTTGTGGGGAAGCTATGTAAAACAAATAGAGGAGTAGATATCGAGCTTCTCCTGTGGTGTGGTCCAAACTGGTTTGGAAAGGAGGCATTCCAAGGAATTCAGTCATTACTTGGCTGATTTTACTAGGGAAGATTACTACTCTGAATAAGATACTCAGTTGGAACCCAGAGATTTGCTGCACTTGCCCGCTGTGTCAACAGCTACCTGAGTCAAGAGAGCATATTTTCTTTCAATGTGAGTATGTGCAGGAAGTGTGGAGGTCTTCTTTCCCAGTAGCTTGGCAGGTTCCCTTACCTGTTACCTTGCAGCAGGCTGTTGATTTTGCGACTCAGAAACTACAAAAGAGTCTAGCGGGAAGAATCTTATGGTGTCTAGTGCTAAGCGAATTATGACGGGAGAGATATCGCAGGTTGTATGGAGGTAAACAACTGTCAGCTGCTAGTTTGGTTACTAAGTTGCAGGCCGTTACAAGAGTGAAGGCAGCTGGTGACATAAAGTTCACTGAGTCCCTGGGTACCCAGCATTTGCTTTAGTAAGGAGGAGTTCTAAATACCTTTGTAGGATGGCAGTTGTAGGACCTGGGCTTTTGTACTTTGGATTTCGTTAAAGTCTGTATAGTTTAACTTTGTGTGCCTATAGTTGCTGATTGTACAGATTGTATTGATGAAATAAAGCCACCCATTCATATAAAAAATATAATACATACGGTATCTATATGCTTGGTTGTTGTTTACAATTTAAAATAAGTGATATGTTATCTAAGCTACTTATTGGGGATTTATCCTTATTTTATGTTCAACATGTTGAATTTATGAATTTCAATATTATTAATTATTTACTATGTTTCGGTAGTAGCAAGTTGGCAGGGGATGGAAGAATCTTCTAGGTGTAGTTTAGTTTTCATAAATGGATGTGAAATTTTACAAAGTTAACGACATTGAGAAGATATTTTATTTATTTATCTATTTATAAATTACATTGAGAAAATGGTTATCCTTGTAAGAATACCAATAACGATATTCTTAAGAAATGAAAATATTAATGACAAAGAAACTAATTTGACAGTTATTGGAAAAGGTAATGACAGTTATTATACTAGTTGCACTTCTAATAGGTTAATTGATTTTTTGTCAAAAAGGGACGAGAACATTGGCCATACACCATACCTATTGTATGTTGAATCATTTCACTGGTTTATATCAAGAATCATCCGAGCGACGAGAAGATCACAATTTCAAAAATGTATTCTAGATTTAATTCAAACAAAGTTCGAACTCACTAATTTGATTATGTATGTCCATTAGCTCTAATGATTATCAAAGTGTGAATATTGCCAAGCTATGTTATAAAATTTGGAACAAGTGCTTATGACAAGTGGTGAGTAATTTAATTAGGAGTGAATTAATTCAGAAGAATTACCTGGAGCAAGGATTTCATATCGTAGCTGGTTTAATTCTCCCATCCCGGCATCCTTTTCCTTTGAGTGTGTTTTATTGGAGTGGCAGATCAAATTCTCTGGGCTCTCTGTGTATATATACAGCAGGGACTTACTGTAGGAAGCAATTAAAGCTTCTAGCTACTCCAGCAGCAACCAACACCTCATTTACACCCATCTCCAATATCGTTTCAGAACAATCATGCATCATACCATATCTAGATAATACAAGATATAATATTTCTTCTCATATATATATATATGGGTCAGACTGGCGTACGTCAGGCGTATATTATACGTCAGGTACTACTAGTGAAATATCTCTATCTAAACCATGAAATATATATATATATAGGTGGCTACTTCGGTGCACTCACTTTTTTAGGTGCACTCAGTGCACCCATCTCTAAAAGTGTCCATAATACATCAATTTTTGAACTTTAATGAGTACTCTCAATCTAATATGATGATATGTCATAGAATCATAACAAATCAATCTACTACTCTAACCCTTTAATCTTCAATTTTGAATCCCAATGCAAAATCCCAAACTGTAAACCTAAACCCTAAACCCCTAAATCCTAAATCCTACAAATTAAAGTAAATTTTAAATGATTTTTTTTTAAAATTCACGTGCTTCTTGTTCATAATATCATAAGCAACAATTGATACTGTTTTGATATGAATCGCATGCTCAGAATGATGATTATGAGGCGGGTGCACTGAGTGCACCCAAAAAAGTGGGTGCGCCGAATATGCCACCATATATATATATTTCAAAAACTAAACAAAACTATAAAAAAAAAAACAGCTCCACGGCTTCCATTTCTCTTGTAACAAAATATGTACATGAGCCAATGTGTCTACTATATTCATTCATATATACAACTAGCTTTTGACCGGCCATTTGTCCGGAATTTTTAATTTGAGAGGGTATAAAGTACCCAAAATATGCGAGATGCAACTATTAAAATATTTCTTAGATTCAACTTAGTAAAAGAAATATACTCTTGGAAATTCCTAAGATAAAAAGTGGTAAAATATTTTAACAATATTTATCCTTCCAGATAATTAATAAAGATAAACTTTTTAACCATAAATTTAGTCTTAAACAATAATTTAAACCAAAAGAATTTTCTTTGCATAAACAAGTTTCTGCCACATGATGATCATAGCCTAACAAAGCCTTGACAATTATGACCTCCTAATTTACTTTAGACCAGACCAATTTGTCATTTGTACCGTTGTTTGTGACAATTAGGACTTGTTCAAAGCCCTGAATCGTCTAGGGCATCATCAGTAATTATCAAAACGCGCGTCTTCGAGCATCGATCAATAGCTCTGCGTTGAAGGCATTCCAGCTTGATCCGTGACGATCATTAGCTGTAACGTAACAGCTATTGAATTTTTTTTTTTTTTTTTTTTTGAAAGATTGTTGTGGAAATGCGCCGATTTGTTATTGTGGAAATGAATTGTTTGAGATCACATAAGACGTCCTTGAGAACCTTAGGAGCTTGCTGGATTGGAAAAGAGAGACCAGCTAGCGATGTGAGACAAGTCATTATAATATTTGCCCAAATATATATAGAGGTATATAATATGTGACCAATTGCTCTTCCTTCTCACCATATCAGGAGCTAATTCTTAATCAACGATCGACAAATCCTGAGGAATTAGTTTCGTTTGTACTTCAAACTTAGAAAGCAAATTCAGTCATGGCCAACTACGGCAACATCAAATTAGCTGCCAAGTTGCTTCTCTTCTTCACTTTCCTTCTCCTCATCTCCGCAGCTGAAAGCAGACAGCCAGCAGCGAGTAATTCATTTTTAAATTTTACTCTTTTAACTTTCTGATAGTTCTTCCGTTCTTTCGAGTCGATGCTGATTAATTTATGAACCGTTTCTCTCCTATTTTCTTTCTTCCATGTGCAGAATGCGGTGGAGTGACGTGTCAGAAATTTTACGCGGCTCGGAGTGGGGATAACTGCGCAGGTGTTGCAGCCAAGAACCACATGTCGGAGGATCTGTTCAAGGCCTTGAATCCGGGCGTCAATTGTTACAACATTTTTGTCTATCAGTGGCTCTGCGTTAAAGGCATTCCAGTTTAGTTTGATCGTGTTGAATCAGTGATGATGATCATTTGCTAATTTAAGTAGCTATATGTTTCTCTGAATTGGAAATTTTTGGAATGGTTTGATGTATCGGAAATGCTTCAGATTTTGTTATTGAAGTACAAATCCTTATTGGACTAGAGAATATATATCTAATGAGACTCACGAGTCAACCTTCAAACGACAATTCTTTCATGATATATCTTGAAATGTCAGGATTCAACCAAATTAAAGAGGAACGAAAATGATACAAAAAATAGGCTTTTCGAATCATCGCGGAGCACTCGAATTTAATTCACTTAAAGCTACTTTTGATTTCCCGCTACTTGTTTGACTCCGTGAACATCTATCCTAAGGAACTTGTGTGGAGTTAGCTGTTATACTCCTTCAAAGATAAGAAAACATGTATGCCTTCCATTTTCTGGTCCCATCTAAAAAATAATAAATAGGAGTACACATGGGTCGTCGGATAGTTTGAGTTAAGTCGTATCAATCAACCGATCCATATACTTCGATTTTATAAATACTAATTCCAACACGAATAGGAGCTAACAAGACGCTTTTGTTTTTATAGAAGCAGGACACATACAATATTCACACACATATATAAGGATGAAAATATCATTAAATCCTCGTGATTTCATATGTATACTTCATATAAATGGGCAGTTATTAAGGAGTCGTTTGGATGGATCAATTAAAAAAAGAGACAATTAGATCAATCGTCTTATTTTTCAAAATGAGTCATTTAAAACGAGTAAATTTGAACTGTCTGCCCTAGTGGCAAATACATGCATGTTTAGGGGTGTCCCGGGACACCATTAAAATTTGGAAACACGATTATTCAACCTCCGATAGTAGTTTGCGTATAAGTAAAAAAAATGTTTAAGTGATAGTGGGACACCCTTAAAATTTGAAAAAATGATTATCCAATCTCCCGTAGTAGTTTGCTTATTGATACAAATAATATTTACGTAGTAGTCTATGTGATTTAAACTAGGGACACTGGCTTTATTAGTAAACCTATTTCAATTACACTACAACTCATTTGTTATTTTGTTTTAGATCCAAATATAATAGTAAAATGTTATTCTTATTTATCAAAACTTAACTATTGAAGCCAATTACCAGATACCCTTGTCTAATAAGATATGTAGAGAGATATTTGTTGAGCAGTATAGACACCGGATGTATTTTACCATTTTACGAAACATGTATGAACTTTTAATGTAACTTTTATATTTAATAATTATTTAATTTAAATATAATATTTATTTAATTTAATTTAAATTTTTAATTTATTTAAATTTTTAAGAGAGGACACCCCTATGTAGAATTCCTGGATCCGCCACTGGTCTGCCCCCACCCGAGACAATTGTAATTGCCTTAAAATGAGTCGATTTGAAATTCTCTAAGCAGAATTGCTTCATCTAAATTTTGTGTTGCCGAACAGATAAAATTACCTTAAAATGAGACAATCTACCCAAATTGATCCGTTAGAATTCATGATGATACTTGGATACACATGAACAAGACATTTTGGAGAACCTTCCCAGCTTGCTGGAAATAGCTAGATATATATACCCATTATATCGTATTAGACCAGGGAGTGCCAAGGGGAAGGATTAATGATCTGTGTTGGCTGATTATAATAAGCACGGTATAGAATATTACTAGTTACGAGTATAAATATAAACCATTTTCATTTTTTCAACTTACAAACAGAAGCAACACAGCTTCAGAGCAAAACAGGACGCATACAATAGTTCCTTATTAAGAGCAAGAAAGAACTTAGACATGGCGATCAACAGCAAAGCTGCAGCCAGTTCCATTGTTCTGAAGTTGTTACTGATCTTCGTTACTGTCCTTCTCCTGACTTCCACTGCTGAAAGTAGAACGCCAACACCAAGTAATTTTGTACTATTTTTTTCTTAATCATAATGTTGCAAACAATCATGCCCAGTTACAATTTTGATCTTCATCCATTTTTCTCCTTCTTGTGCTGTTTGGCAGAATGTAAGGAAGTGAAATGTCAGAAATTTTACGGGGCTCAGAAAGGGGACAATTGCTTTAATGTTGCAGGCAAGAATTACATGTCTGAACATTTGTTCAAAGCCCTGAACCCGGGCATCAATTGCTATGCTATCTTCGCCGGGCAATGGCTCTGCATCCAAGGCATTCCAGTTTAGCGATAGAACATTCTTATGAAACCACACTATACTTTTGAGTTCAAACTGAATTAGGAAATTTTCTTTTATGTTGAAATTCTTTGTCATTACGAGGAGAGATGCAATTTTTTTTTCATGAAATGAATTATGACGTTTTATCTTATTGTGGACGTGTGACGAAATTTATATGTAATTGTGGTTTTATTTGTCTCGACATCTTTTGTTTACACTCTTTCTTTCTCCTTTCGTATTTGTCTTATTTTTTTCTTCTATCAAGAAGAAAAAATTGGTTGGTTATATTGTACTAGAAATTGGGGTTTGCTGCGTAATCACAACTAAGGTTATAGTACTACAAATTTAATCACGTCGAACTAATTATGATCAACTCGTAGATGAAACTAACTTGTAATCCATTGATTAACTCATAATCATTCTATCTCAACGTTATCCAAATAACTATTAGTTACGCAACATGTTAAGGTTACAAGTTCATGGTTACTAGCTTGAACTTTGTTGGTCTCGCAATCACGTTATCCCTAAAAATCACTAACTTCGAAATCCTTCAAACCAACATGCTAAGGTTACAAGTTCATAATTACTAGTTTGAAATTTGTTGGTCTCACAATCAGGTTATTCCTAAAAATCACCAACTTCAAAATCTTTCAAACCATCGCTTCCAAATTTGCCCACTTGACGACCACTATGCTCCTCCTCTTGTTCATCTCCTTTCTCCCGTTCTTCCCTCGGTAAAGCAAAACCCTCCGCATCAGCAAATTTGCTTTAATTTTTTGGGTTACAATTTGCAGATTAGACATTTCCGTTAGCCATGTCAGCAAATAATTTACGGTGTTAACGCAAACTAACGGAAGGTAACGGAGAGTGATCAAATTTGAACCATTTAACTAATTTGAGTGACCAAGATTGGATTTAAATATTTCTAGTGACCAAACATGAACATTTTTTGTAATCTCAATGACCAACCATGCAATTAACCTTAAAAATTTATATATGATTGTAGTACTAATTTTATAGGTCTCGTAATTTTTTGTTTACCTTCGTATCAAGAAGAAGAGATTAGTTATTATCTTGTGCTATAAATTGGTGCCGCGACATAATCACAAGTTATAGTTATAAGGTTAGAGTGCTACAAATTTAATCACTTCGTACTAACTACGATGAACTCATAGATGAGACTAACTTGTAATTCAATGATTATCATTCTATCACAACATGATCCAGATAACTTGTGCTATGAATTGGGGCTGCGACATAATCACAGGTTATAAGGTTAGAGTGCTACAAATTTAATCACTTCGTACTAACTACGATGAACTCATAGATGAGACTAACTTGTAATTCAATGATTATCATTTTATCACAACATGATCCAAATAACTATTAGTTGGGCAACATGTTAAGGTCACAAGTTCATAGTTACTAGCTTTTAAACTTGTTGGTCTCGCAATCACGTTATTCTTAAAAAGCACTAACTTCGAAATCCTTCAAACCAATATGTTAAGGTTACAAGTTCATATTACTAGTTTGACATTTGTTGGTCTCGCAATCACGCTATTCTTAAAAATCACTAACTTCAAAATCCTTTAAATTATCGCTTTGAAATTTGTCCAAATGACGACCATTATGCTCCTCCTCAAGTTCGTCTCCTTTCTCGAGTTCTTCCCTCGGTAAAGCCAAACTGAACGCATGGTAAACAAGACAAGCTAGAAACGGGCCCAACCAAAACACCCAATGGGCCTCCCACAACGGGCCCTTAAACAGCACAGCGGCAGCCCAACACCTCGCCGGGTGCAAGCCCACTCCGGAATACCCGGATCGGCCCGTCACGGTAATCGAAACATAAACCACCAGCCCATAAGCCACCGCCACCGCCGCGCACACCGTCGGCAGCCCCAGCTCCCTCCGCCGCTCGAAAATCGGCATCGCCACGTACAGCAGCACAAAAGTGCACGTGAATTCCAGCGCCAGAGCCGTCCCGGCGCCGACCCCGGATCCGGGTCCGCCGCCGTTGACGACGCAGCCGCCCAGCTGGTACTTATCGGCGGTTCCGCGGTCCATCGTGGCCTTGACGACGGCGAAGGAGATCAACGCGCCGAGGAACTGGGCGGCGAAGTAGGACGCGGCGCGGACGACGGAGACGACACCTTTGAGGGCGGCGGCGAAGGTGAAGACCGGGTTCATGTGGCCGCCGGTGAGAGGGACCGTGGCGAGGAGGAGGGGGTAGCCGGCGATGAAGATGGCAACCGGAACGAGAAGTTTCGGGTCGGTTTGGCCCGATTCGAAGCAGGAGATTAAGGTGGTAGTTAGGGTGAATTCGAGACACGCCGTTGCTACCATCTCCGTCACTGCCGCTCGCCACATCTGAAAATTTGTTACAAATAATTTCATTACACGCCCTGTAAATAAAAGTAAACCCAAGAGGTTACTTAAAAACTTCATTACACTATCTCAGTAAACGAAAGTTGTATGAGTTTGAAGTTTGCACACGCCTTTCCATACGATGTGGTTTAAGACAACAATTAATATTGGGGTCGTGAGAACTTGAACACATGACCTCAAGAACAAACCAGTTCTAATACCATGTCAAGAACTAATTCATCTCAATAACTCGAGTTGTTGGGAGATGTCCAATCATATACCGTTTACTAAGATATACCTTCTAAAACAAAAACCATCATACATATTACATGGGCTTGAAGTTTGCACAGTTCCAGACACCATATACTTAACAGAACAAATGGGATCATCGAGATTGGAACATTAGACTTCTGATGCATTATCAATTTCGGCCGCCCATTATCATTATCATTATTATGAGTTTGTTAGTCGGTTTTGGTTATTGTTTAGGAATGGTATTAATTATTAAAGTATTTTAGGTATTTTCTTTAGGATTAAGTTACCGTATCCTTGTAAGATTGGTAAGTGATTAGGTTTTCCGGTTCAACTATAAATATGTACTTTGTCTCTAGGTTTTAATCCGTCAAAAGAAGAATAAACCAGTATTTTCAGTTTCTTTTAGTTTTAGTTCGTACGATTACGCGATGGACGAACTGATCGTCCATCAATTGGTATCAGAGCCTGGTTCGACGGAACCGAGCTCTTACCAGCTCCCAGGGCAGACATCGCCGATGTTCAACCACCAACGTCGGGAAGAGGTCTTGCGCGCAACCACGATCCGCAGCGACAAGGTGGACAGATCGCCTACCGAGGCGCCACCAACGAAGAAGCTAACCGTAGCTTCGCCATTTGAGATCCACGAACCGCCGGATAAATCTCCTAGACCGATCAATGCCAAGGTCTCTTTTTCTACTGTTACAGGAGAGTGGAAGTCAGCAACCCTTCGACTCGACACAATAGTCCATCGAGAACCTGTGGTTGCCCTAGTCGATGATTTTTTGACGCACAACTTCATAAACCCCCGACGTCGCCAAGGGTTTAGCCTTGCCGACTACACCAATTCCTCCGTTCAAGGTCAAGACTGCAAACGGGGAATTCTGGGATTGTGAGCGTTGTTACAAGGCCGTTCCGATTCACGTACAAGGTGTATGGCTTGAAGTAAACTCGTACGAACTTCCGATTCATGGGGTTGATCTCGTCCTCGGCCATGAGTGGCTCAAACAAGTGGCAACGGTAACAACGGATTGGGAAATTTCAGCTATAAGTTTCTGGTGTAATGACGTAAGGGTCACTGTGCGAGGTTTTTGCGAGGCCACCAAGAGGATTGCGGAGTTCAAGAAGCTTCAACAAGAGCGTGATCGACGACGTCGTGAAGCAGGTCCAATGACTCAAGCACTGTCGAGCGGTGCTGTGATTGGAAGCTCCGTACCACCGCGATCGACCGCGGTCACGCCTGAAGGATGAGAGGCCGCTGCGGTTACCGTTGCTTTACCCGTATTTCTTAAACCAACGTGTAGCCACGCCGCTACCGAGAAGCTTCAAGACTCCAAGCCATCACCGCCGTTGTTGAAGTCGCTAGACACCTCGCCTGTCGATGTCGTTGATGCTGCTGCGGCACCGCATGGGCTTGGGGAATTCAAAGAAGAAGCTATCAATACCTCTGCGGCACGTAATAAAGATTCAGCTCCTTCTAACTTTCCTTTCGCTATAGATATATCTTTGCATCCATATGTTTTGATTGAGCTGGTGGTACGTGAGGATGAAGGAATACATGAGGAGTGGCTTTTGGAGGATGGGTATATTGCTTGGTTAGGAAGCATCATGTGTTTCGATCCTGGTGGGAATGATTTGGGTCGGATTGAAGCTGTTAACATTGACAGATTGGATTGGGTGTTGAAGCTGAACTGGAAATATCGAAAGCGTAGGCTCTGGTGTCTAACTCTCACTGTCGTTCATCACAAGATGCGCGGAAACTTCTTCCTCATTGAACCGGGTGGAGACATCGCTCGAACTTCGGGGACGAAGTTCTTCGAAGGGGGGAGGATTGATGCATTACAATTTCGGCCACCCATTATCATTATCATTATTATGAGTTTGTTAGTCGGTTTTGGTTATTGTTTAGGAATGGTATTAATTATTAAAGTATTTAAGGTAGTTTCTTTAGGATTAAGTTACCGTATCCTTGTAGGATTGGTAAGTGATTAGGTTTTCCGGTTCAACTATAAATATGTACTTTGTCTGTACGTTTTAATCAGTCAAAAGAAGAATAAACCAGTTTCTTTTAGTTTTAGTTAGTACGATTACGCGATGGACGAACCGATCGTCCATCAACTTCTCGGTAACAAAGGCTCTGATACCATTTTATAAACCAACTGTCCGAATAACTCGAATTGTTGTGAGAGGTTCATTATATGATACTTAACCACTTCCTAGGTTCATGATGATTAACTATTGGATGGTGTTATGGAAACTGAAAGAACTTACTTACCGGAGTGGAGTAGAGTTCATCGGCACCAATGCGGCTGAGGAAGCCATGCTGGTGGTGCTGGGAAGATTTGTTGTTGCGGCTGGCTGCAGCCTTCACTGAATTGATCTTGTTACTGTTATGATTCTTCATATCTCCGTTTGTGATTGCTTTGAACTGCGATCTTCTTCCGTGGAAATTTAACTGACGAAACCGCATTTTATGTGTGTGTGGGTGTGTCAATATCTACATATGTTATTCTATGCAAAGACTTTCTTGTTGATTAATTAATATAATTGACGAGAAGTCCAAAGTAGAGGTTGTCTCTTGTCAAGCTATGCATCTCTCCAAAACGGGCTGTCCAAAAGAGAAGAGATGGTAAACATACATGAAGACAGAGGAGCAATGCTCGATTTCGGCAACCAGCTGGTGGCCGGGCACAGCCGTCGCTGTCTTTCCCCTTCATTGTCAACGGAGGTTCCGACGGCAACAAACATAAAAGACAAAGGGGGAAACATGTGTCGGAGGACTGGTTTAAAGCCTTGAATCCAAGCATGCATTATCAGTTGTTACAACGTAGTTTGGCCATCAATGAGTGCTTCGAAAGGCATTCCGGTTTGATCAGGGGCGGAGCCAGGATTTGACCGTCGGGGGGGCCGAAGTTTAGAAAGTGTAATACGTAGAAGAAAATATATCATAAAATATAATTAATATTAATATTTATTTATTATTTATTTGTAATATTTGAGATAATGAAAATGCCAAAACTATTATTAGAAATATAAATTTAAAATTTGAAGAACATAATTAAGCTACTTCAAAATTACATGACTTGTAAAACAAATTATGAAAGTTAATATGCTTCATGGTAAAACTAAATTAACAAGGTTAAAAAAATTAATATGGTCCTTGTCACGCTCAATTAAGAAGTTAATATGATTTTTTTTATCACAAAATCAATAAAAATTTGCTGCCATGAGGTTTTGAACCAAGACCATGAATGACAACAATTGACTTCTACTCCACTGGACTACACACAAATCATATGCTTCATTATTGCACACAGTTTGTATTTATACTAATCTTCATTTTATACGTAATTCTTCAAAACTCGATAGAATTTTGTACGTGATTTCAAAAATCTCGGGGGGGGCCGGGGCCCACCCGAAGTACCACCTAGCTCCGCCCCTGGGTTTGATCATTTGCTGTATAGCTATATGTTTCAAGAGAGTGATGGTAATGGACAGTGGGCGGATCCAGAAAAGTAAAGAGCATTTGGGCCACATGTGAAAAGAGGCGGAGATCACTGAGTCGTAACCCAATGAGCATTGAAATGAATACGTAAAATCAAAACTTTACAAGAGCCAAGGGAGGGTTGAGACGTGGCCCCCTGGATCTGTCGCTGATAATGGGGTCGTTACCTCAATATCTATACGTACTAATCAGGTGGTAGATTGGGTAATGTTCTTGCGGGTATAAGACAGTGCATGTTGACTAATTTATGTTATTTTAAAAAAAAATGTAGTTGTAAATTTTTTTTACAAGAATGTATAGAGAAAATACGTCGTAAATGAATGAGAAATGATGTAGAATGAATAACTGAATTTAAAATAGTTGAAAAATAGAGTTTTCTAGTTTTTTTTTTTTTAAATGAAAGTATATTATAGAAAGGGTAAAAGAGGAGAAATATATGTAGATATTGATGCAAATTAAATTACGATAGAATGCGTCAAGTATTGGATGAGGTAGGTCGGAAGCAATACTCATATCCCGCCCCATATTACAGCGAGTCGAATAATACACATCCCAAACATATCGTGGTAGATTAAGTCACACGAATCGGGTTAGAAATTACGTACCGTCACCATTTCAAAACAATGAAACATTGAATTGGATGTTTTCAAATGGTTGTTATGAAAATGCGCAAAGCGTTACGAAATGAGTTGTAGGGGTCACACTAGTTAGATGGGATGGGATTAGGTGCTAACCCTTATAGGGGTTAGCACCGTGATAACTAGCAAAAAACGCTATTAAAAATAACGAAATCACTACGGATTATTATAAAATCAATACAACATCTAAGCTAAATCACTACTAATTCAAACTAGTAAGAGTTTTTCTCTTGGTTAGGACGGTGTTAACTATTGTACAATTAGCACCGTAGTCGTTCCCCTAGTTAATGATACTACTCTAGTTTTTTCCGTTATCAGTTAGTTAAAAATGGACACTTTTAAGATCGAGCTTTCCAATTCCTTATATTTGGATACATAAACAAGGAGACATATTGGAGAACCTTTCCAGCTTTCTGGAAACAGATATATGAATACATTGATCATAAGATCATAGGCCAGAAGTGGCAAGGGGAAGAATTGATGGAGTGTGTTGGCTAAGTACAATATGATCAGTATATTAACATATTTCCGAGCAACACCGCTTAAGAATTGATAGCGAACTGCAGAGTAAAAAGTTATATATGGCTCAACGATAAAATTACAGTCAACATCATTATTCTGAGAGTAATCTAAAATTTGTTGTTTTCATTGTTTTGAGGGAATGAAAATACAAATAATAGTTGCTCGAAAAATCAAACGATTCAAGAATTTGATCAATAATTTTTACTTTCTTTTCAGATAAGAGTATACGTATACTTTTCTTTACTCAAAACAAATTACCACGATCATTACCAATATATAAGTACCAAATAAATAACGTATATAGTTACACAACACCTTGAAATTTCAACACTATTGCTAAATGGTAGCTCGTTGATTATGCAATACACTTTTTTTATAAGTGTGACATAAGTTTACTTTTTGTCCTTTAGTACTAATTAAGAAATTTGTATTTGAAATCTCCAAATTAAAGACTAATGATCATATATTACGATTAGATCAAACCCTTGTTTGTGCACACTTTCTTAAAAATCACTAATTCTGAATTCCTTCGAACCATCGCCTCGAAATTTGTCGACGTGACCATTATGGTCCTGATCTTCACTTTCATCTCCCTTCTCCAATTCCTCCTCCGGCATAGCCAAACTGAGCACGTGATAAACAAAACAGGCCAAAAACGGGCCAACCCAAAAGACCCGATGGGCCTCCCATAACGAGCCCTTAAACAGCACAGCCGCAGCCCAACACCTGGCCGGGTGCAAGCCCACTCCAGCGTACCCGGGCCGGCCCGTCACCGTAATAGAAACATAAACCACCATTCCGTACGCCACCGCCGCCACCGCGCACACCGTCGGCAGGCCCAGCTCCCTCCGCCGCCGCTCTTCCAAAATCGGCATCGCCACGAACAGCAAAATGAAAGTGCACGTGAATTCCAGCGCCAGGGCCGTCCCGGCGCCGACCCCGGATCCGCCGCCATTGACGGCGCAGCCGCCCAATTGGTACTTTTCCGCCGTGGCGCGGTCCATCGTGGCCTTGACGACGGCGAAGGCTATCAGTGATCCGAGGCACTGGGCGACGAAGTAGGCAACGGCGCGGGCGATGGAGACACCGCCTTTGAGGACGACGGCGAAGGTGAAGACCGGGTTCATGTGGCCGCCGGTGAGAGGGATCGTGGCGAGGAGCAGAGGGAAGCCGGAGATGAAGATGGAGACCGGGACGAGGATTTTCGGGTCGGTTTGACCCGATTCGAAGCAGGAGATGAGTGTGGTTGTGAGGGCGAATACGAGGCACGCCGTTGCCACCATCTCCGTCACCGCCGCTCTCCACATCTGAAATTTGCAAACAATTTAGTCAAAACTCCAAAGCTCTGTTGTGAATTCTTGCTCTAACCTGTAAGTACACCAAAAAAATTGATGAATAAAAAAAAATATATTGAATTCTTGCTGTAAGTAGAACAAATGGTATCCAATTTGCCAATTTGGTCAGAGACTAAAATTGAGTGGCGGATTTAGTAATTTTAGGGGTTGTTTGGATGGGTTAATTGTCAAAGCGGTATTTGTAGAGTCAAATAACTCATTTATTGCTCATGTGGTATTTCAGTGGTAATTGAAATAAAGTATCTCGTTTGGTTGAACCATGCAAATGTGGTATTTGACATGTGATATTTGGTAAAAGCAGAGTGATAAAAGAGTTATTTCCAAATAACAAATGAGTATAAGTTATTTCAAATAACTCGTTTTGAGTTATTTGTAAATAACTAACTGTCCAAATAACTCATTTTAGTAAAACGCTGCCAAACGAGTTATTTGTGTCCAAATAACTCATAAAAATTATTAGATAAGTATTAAATACAAAAATCTTCGACTAGTACAAATTACAACTATTGGGGAAAAAAGGACCACCAACTATTAGGGGAAAAAAGTACAAGTTACAACAAAATCGCACAACGTGATTCATAATTTGAAAATTTTGTAAAATATATTCGGCGTCGACACTCGACACTGCTCAACAAATTTCTCTCCATATATCCTACCAGACAAGGGCAACTCGTAATTGAGTTTAATTGTTAAGTTTTTAAAATAATTGGGAATAAAGAGTTTTACTATTATATTTGGAATTAAAATACAATAATAAATAAGTTTTAGTCTAATGGAGAATATGTTTACTAATAGTAGTAGTGTCTCAAGTTCAAATCACAAAGACTATCACTTAAATAATTTTTGCACCTATATGTAAACTACTATTGGGTTGGATAAAAAATTCTTCAAATTTTAGGGGTATCCCACCATCACTTAAATATTTTTTTTATCCATATGCAAACTACTATCGGAAGTTGAATAATCGATATTCTAAATTTTAGGGGTGTCTCGTGGTCCATGCAGCCACTGGTAAAATTTAGTATTTATGTGTTTTGAGTCTATGCAAGTTTTATTGGCTTTTGAAATTGGTATTTGATTGAGTTTAAGTTTTGCCAAAACCAACTTATTTTTCATTCGACTCACACTCTTAAAGCCAAACAATTGTTTTGTATCTAATCAGAATAATATCAATAATGTATGGAGACTATTAGTTTTATGAACTTAAAGTATGAATAATTTTTTTATTGTTAGTAGTCGTTGTGGAAATATATTTACAGGAAAACTTTGATAATATTACGATCCGAGTGTTTGAAAATTTAATGTATGATTTATGTTCATAAACTCATAGACATTCATTCACCTGTGGTCTGTGAACACCTGTTGAGTTGAGTTTTCACTTCTAAACTCAATCGGTAGTTACCAATTTTTTTATAGGGGCACCAATTGAATTGAGTTTAGATTTGAAAAAAACCTGAACGAGTTGTAAGCTTATCCATGGAACCCAAATCAAACAACCATTAGAAGACCATCTACTTTTCTTTTTCCATATGAGTTGGAAAGTAGAAGAAAAAACAACCATTGGGACGTCTAGACCAAAACTTTTTACGAAACGGGAAGCTCGATCTTAAGTCTTACCGGAGTGGAAAAGAGCTCCTGGCTACCAATGCGGCGTAGGAAGTCACGCTGCCGGGGAGATATGTTCCGGCGGCTAGCGGCACCCTGCTTGGTTACGGAGGGATGATGATTCATGTCGCCGTTCAGGATTCCTGGACCGCCGTCGGTAACTTCTGCCATCGCTTTAGACTGTGTAATCTTCCAGGGAAATGTTTAACTGTACTTGTATATCTGTGCAAGTCTGTTAATATCTGTATATATATACTATATTATGAATGAACCTAAACACTTGGTCTGGTCGGATTGAGGAAATCTTCAATGGTATCGTTGTCGTGCCAACCAGATGGATGTTCAATAGGCTGAATTGGGCAACCAGGTATAACGGCAACGGGTCACAGCCTTGTTTGTTGCCCCTTCCAAGACAAACCTAAACACAACAAAGGGGAAACCTACCGGCCGGCTGGTTAGAGAATTGACAGAGTGTTGTTAAGGGTATATTACTGGCGGCTGTGCTGAGATGTGCATCATATGGTATCTGCCCTACTTGTCAGCTTCCGACGAGATGGAATGTGAATAGTGGTGGCAATTCACATCCAAATCCATGAATCCAATCCAATCCATCCACCAAATTATCTATTTAATCCAATTCATTTAAATCCAATCCATTTTATCCAAATCCAATTGGATTGGTGGATTTATGGATCAATCAATGGATCCAAATGGCAAATTACGATTTGGTACCTATATTTTTTATATTTTATATTTTGGTACCTAAAATTTATATTTGTATACGAAAAATATCATTGGAAAATTCTATTTTGGTACCTAAAATTTTTCATTACGATATTTTAGTACTTAAACTTTTCAAAATTTACATTTTGGTCCAAGCCTTGGATGTCATTTGGATTCAATAGACCTGGCAAATTACAACCCGACCCGTTGACCTGACCCGAAACCGCCCAAAAACTAGATTTTTTTGTGACCCGATTGCCAGGTCTAGGATTCATGGATCAATCCACAAATCCATTTGATCCAATCCATCGGATCCATGGATCCACCAATCCAATCCACGAATCCGATCCAATTGCCACCTCTAAATGTTAATGTCCTCTCCGATATGTTGCATACCCTCCCGAAGGCAAGTTCTCGTCCGACTTGTAAGTGTTAAGCATGTCACCATCATTCATCTCGACATCAAATTCTTCATGAGATTTTGTATTGCTTACTACTTCTTCATTCGTAGACAAAGCGAACTCAAAATTGTTCATTTCAATGAGAAGTTCGGACGATTATTAAATTCTAATTAGAATTTTTTCGCTTTAAAGATATGATTCAGGTGTGTATGAAAACTATCGAGCCCATGAACTTGAACGTTCAAACTAGTTTCGTATGCGACCTGTGTGCATAATTAGCAAAATTTTGTTTAATACCTGTATAATACATTTAATAAACATATTTTAAACTATTCTATTGATAACTTAATAATTTTATATACCTATATTGAATAGTAAATTATTATTATTTTAAAAATGACGAATAAAAATTATGCACGTATTAATATCATATTATGTTTATACAATATTGGGTAAATGCCACATTTGGTCACTAAGACTACTAAATTGCATCATGTTTAGTCACTAGAAAAATTTAATATCAATTTTGGTCACTCGAATTACTGAAACAGATCACACATTTAGTTACTCTCCCGTTAGCCTCCATCAAACTCCAGTCACTCAAATTACTAAAACATGTCACATTTAGTCACTCGAATTACTAAAACATGTAACATTTAGTCACTCTCTCGTTAGTTTCCATCGAACTCCACACCGTTAGTTCCCGTCCAACTTCATTTACTGAAACATATGGAGTTGGACGAAAACTAACAGGAAAGTGACTAAATGTGACATGCTTCAGTAATTCGAATGACCAAAATTAATATTAAATTTTTCTACAGACTAAAGATGACACAATTTAGTAATCTCAGTGAAGGTCACTGTAGCATTTACCCATACATATTTCACCAAGTATGCTTGTGAGACATAGTCTCATATAGACATTAGCTAGATTTAAGATTTAGAGAGGCTCATCCAAGTGTGTCATGTGAAAAGAGATTAATATTGCAAACAAAATTTTAATACATTCATTACCAAATCAAACTACTCGTTATCATATTCTTGAAAGTCTTGACAGTAGAAGCCATCCATCCGATGTTTTAAACAAGTCCACAGGCACCTCACTCTCCCTTCAAACAAAAACAATTACAGCTTGCCTCATGTTCCAGCATTTCGGCGGCCTACTCGGGCAACGAAACCAGCCTTGATTGGAGCAACAGACCTTCCAGATCCACACTGCCACAACCAAAATCAGACCCTCAGCAAAAGATTTGACAAAATTACAGAGCATGAGAAACAAAACTGATCTCCCAGTGCACCCAATCAATCAACTCTTGTGGAAACAGCAGACAACAGGCAGAGGCCTCAGAATTACCCAATTTGATATATACATCATATGCAAGTCAAGCAACACAATGTGCGCTAAGTTGTATCATCATTGGCCTCACCATTTACTACTACCACAAACTTAAACGAGCAAAAAGTCTCCGCCAACTTAATGGTAGGCAACCGTATGCTAGTTATCTGCACCGAACACCAAACTGCAGTTTGGTGCGGTTTACCCCACCAATACAAGCCATAGAGGCATGTACACCCCTCGTCTTTACTAGACCGACAAAAATATGCAGTTCATAATCTATGTGAAACAGAAGCAATCAGCACAAATAGCATGCTTCAAATGTAGCAAGGACAAGCCATGCCCAAAAGAACCAGCACAGTTGACACGACGAACACTGGTATTATGGGCCAGAGTATCAACAGAGTTTATACAAAGCATAATCATCAGCCCCACCAAAGCAACATAAAAAAAAAACTTTGAGAGAGCAGGACTATAAGACAAGACCATTTCAAGTATTACGCATAGTTCTCTATTTTAAGATACAGCCCAAAATGGCAGCGTTATACACAGAATTTCAGAACATCTGCAGGTTGTGTGTAATCTAACCAGAAGTAGAGCTCACAAACAAGACAAGCTTCAGCATCATGGAATTGCTCACAGATGAGAGCACCCCCAGCCTCAATATATTTTCAAATACTAGTTAATCGGATACTCTAAAATCAATACATCATACTATTTGACACACAGATGCAAGATCCAAAAGAACAAATAGATAAAAGGACTGGATGAAGTCTTACCTTCTCACATCTTAGGAAGAAGAGACGATTTTCCTTGGAAAGTATGGTGTCTGGACTTTTGCAACCAAGGCAAATCACATACTCATCTGAACGCGAGTACATTATTAGTTTCCATCAATTAATTCCCCAGACACATAACATGGATAATATGACAATCGGGTAAACCAACAGAAACAAGAGATATGCTTACTGATATATCGCCGCAGGATCCCTTCAAAATTTTTGGGAGCAAATCTTCCCTTCACAACCAACCTTTGCTGGCCATCAAGAGACCCACTTGTACCCAACTCAGCAAGCAAGAAAGCCATAACATGATCCGGCTGTCGATGCATGCTACAAATAACAAGGGAAACGGTATCCATAAATTGAAACAGGAGCAGCATTTAATACATAGGCAAGCCAGTCAAAAGATATATGAAGATCGAAATGAAAAGATTATCCTATTCCATATGATATAAAGACTAGACATTTAACAAAAGCCAAGAGCGAACAAGAAGTTGGGACTATTTGGTAGATCCTAGTTAACAAGGCAGGTTTCTATGAAACACAGCCAGTGACTGCGATTCTGCAAAAAAGAGTGAAGCAAACTACACGATGAGAGGATTGTACATGTACTCACCTCTTGCAAAGATCCATGAAATTCGCAAACACAGTTTTCTTTGTCCCTTCACGAAGAACCTGAGGAGGCCTCATCACAGTCCTCCGCCTATCTCCTGAAAGCTCTGGGTTATTCTCACGGAGAATGTTGAAAACCCTGCCGAGAAGCTGCCATAAACGAACAAAGAGAAGATACATCAAGTCTCCATCAAGCACACATTGGTTGAAAGGACAACAAATCCATGCCCCTTGTGGAGGAAAAAAAGACATATGAGCATAGGAATAGGGCTACATTAAGATTATAGTTGAAGGATATCAGTTTGAATTTCAGTCATACCAGAGAGATGCTAACATTAATTCGCCTATCACACAATATTAAACCAATTTCAATCTTTTAAACTATTTTACATACCTCTTCATACTCATAATCACGGTCACTTTTTTCCCAAGGATAACGCTCTTGGTGCAGAGAAGCTTCTTCCGCTTCATCATCTTCGTGGCCATGATCTATATGAGATGAAAAAGGATCAAAAAAATAGTACTAACATAGCAATACAGTCAAGCACCATAAGGACAGCTAGGAAACAGCATCTCACCATCAAGGTCTTCTTCTCCCTCCCCAATTTCCTCACTCAAAGGCCTTGTTTCAACCTATTGTCGGATATAGGCATCATTGATCAGAACATACTAAAAAAATATGTATTTAATTTGCTAACAAAGGTGAAACTTTCATGCTTGTGATAGCATAACACAACAATATAGCAAAAGGAACTTACAGGCTTCTTCTTTTTCTTTTTCAATCCGGAAAATGAACTTTCAACCCCATCTGCCACTGCAATAATTGAAAGAAGAAAAAAACCACTTAAAAACATACAACAAAATTTACAAAGGCGAAATACTCTCTGTAAGTAAATTATGGCGCAGAAATATATCAGAAGAAAAGTTCCAAACCTGACAATGATTCAGTTTTTTCAGCCAGCTTGTCCATAGAATCATCAGCAATATCTTGAATAACAACCTTCTTCTTCTTCTTTTTCTTGGTTGGATCAAAAGGGGCAAGCTGCAATACAGCAACAGTAAAATATTAGTACAGTCAACACATCTCAAACATGAGCATGTCTATCTTATTCAGGACCTGTATTGCCTTAGCCTAACACATGCGCAATAAGAACATTAACAACCGTCACAGCTCAAGTTAGAACTTCAAGATAGACACTAAAACATGCAATCTGATGATCATTGAAGAAAAAAGTTCAAGGACGGCACAAGAACATGCAAGTTTTGGACCAATAGGAAAAAGAACCACTATTATTTCATCAGAAAAATACATTTTCAGACAAATACAGTAGACTAGACCAGTTAACAAAATCTCATTGTTCCAGTCACAAAATGCTTCTATCGAACGACCATCATTCTCCAAATATTTTAACGCAAGGATTATGAAGAGGAACTTACTTCTGGAACCTCCTCCTTCAGCTCATTATGTTCCTCGTCGGCCATTGTTACTGAAAATTGGTTCAAAGTAGGCATACGATTAGTAAATCTTTTAGCCAGCCAATAAAGTAGTATCAAGCATCAGAAGTAAAAGGAAGCAAACCCAAGAATCTACCTATACGGCAATAAAAACCTAGTGTTCAAAACTCAATTATCAATGAACGTCCGTTCACCTTCAACTTCCAAAACTACAAAGGCCCCAAGAAAACAAACTTATTTCAAAGAGGCAGAATGGTGAAAAGCGAACGAAAATTGAAATTTCGTGGCCTGGACTGGATTCACAGCGATGTTTTCAACTGGGCTATTCACTGTAAAAACAAAGATGGGCATAATCGCGTATGCGACACGAGCAATCGCCGACCAACAGAACAATCAGCCGATACAGTATTATGCAGGAACCGATCAGAGAATCAAAGGGCGGAGAAGAGGATAAAACCCTAATATGAGATTTTAGATTAGGCTAGACATTTGGCGGACAGATACCAGTAAGTTAGAAACAGAGAAATTATGGGATGAAGAACGTATCAATCGATGGAAAACGTACAATGCGCCTACCTCTCTTATTTTTGAAGTTGTTGTCGAGCACAGCGAAGAGGAAGATCGAATAGGGATATGGATTAGGGTTTTACTGGTGTATCGACTGGTAGCTGAAGAACATGGGTGCTAAACGCTTTAAAGCCTGAAAAATCAGAGGGTAAAATGCTATTTGGGTCACTGAAGTATGATTCGGCTGTGTCTTGGTACTTATATACTATTTTTCAGACTTGCCACAGCAATTTGTAGATTTCGGAGTGTGTGATTTCTAAACTCCATGGATTTTAATATAAAACAAAATCAATGTATTTCAGATAATCATAGTAATATTATAATAAATTTGGATTTGTACTTAATTCTATATAAATTACATGCGTTTCATTTGATCATTAGACCAATTCATTTGAATCATATAGTTAAACTATTTTGGATATTTAAATCTCTTATGTTTTTGTAATATATCTATATAAATAAATTGGAAAATCTCTCGTGTTAATCTAAATGCTTTGTGAAAGTTTGGACTATGAGCTAACGGTTTAACCAACCAATGAATATTTTTTATGTAACATAAGCACTACATGTTCTTAAGTCGAAATTCTCGACTTTTACTCCATGCATATTAAACATCGACTAAGTCGGTCATAGACATCAAGGTTGTCAAATCGGTTTAAGTCATTGAGCCGGTCAAGCAAGGGGTTTGAGGTTTAATGGTCTGATCGGGGTCCGGCCGGTTTTAGACGTTTTCTAAATATATATACAAATAAAGTAGTAATTAAAAATTTAATGAGTGAAATAAAATTTATCTTACATATATCTATTAAAAACTTATTTTCAACAAAATAAATCTACCTAACCTCCATGATCCACCTACCATTTCCCTTCCTTCGTTCCTTTTCCTCTCTTCTTCTCCCTGTTTAGGGGTCAGACCGGGGGGTTTTCTGGAGGCCGTTTTGAAGCCCGACTCGGGTTGAACCGGGTCCAACCGGGGGGTTCGATAGGGGTTTAACAACCTTGATAGACATATAGAATGTATAATAATCAATAATTGTTTTTATGAGTAGATTGATGCTAACCAAGATAGTCAAATTTATTATCTTATAAATATATTGTTTGAGCCTAACTGAGTGTAGGAGGGAGGCTCGGAAAAATGGGTCAAGGAGAGTAAGCAATGAGGGAATAATCGTCGATGGAAGAACTGAGGAGATTACAAAGAGAATTGAGAGAGAAATATTTTAGAGAGAGAAGTCGATGATTCTAGAGATAGAGTCCGAAAAATCTCATCCTCTCACCCACCGGAGTAAATGCCATATTTATAGGCTACATGGTGGTGGGTGAGTGGTTGAGTTACATGTGGGGACAATGACATGACCACTGACATGTCAGGGATTTAGACCATGCTTATACCTAGGACATGTAAGAGGCCTACCTATGACTGTGCTTAGGGTTCTGATGTGACTACTCCTCGGGAAGCGAGACGACGCTTTCTGCGGCTCTTTGGTCTGGTTAACGCCTTGATCCTTCCGCGTGCGCGTAGCCTGTGTCGCGTTCGAGATCTTCGCGCTAGTCTGCCTTCACAGCGTCGCGCTCAAGGGCTTCGCGATGAACCGCTCTGGGATCTTCACGCTGGGAGTCTTCGGTCGCGTCGCGTCCCGCAGGGTTTGGCAGCATTTAGGGTAGCATTGGTGCGTTCCTCTGGCGCGTCTAGGTCCGAGTCGCATGCCCAACAATTGCCCCCCATCAGGGGGTGTTCTGTGAATACCACCTGTTTGGACTTCCGCTTGATTGACTCGGGCCTGCTTGATCTCCATGAGATAAGTTTCCTGGGCTCGTTACCGACCGCGCTGATCTCGTTGTGCGCGCTACTTTTAAGTTGGGGACACGTTGTACTGATCGCGCGATTATTTGATTTTTGTGCGTGATTGAAGTTGGGCTCGGAGTGTGTCATGCCCCCCAGGCGGTTGGCGTCTTCTGATCTCCGCGCGATCTCCGTGCATTTTTACTCGCGCGGTTGACTCGGGTCTGCTTGATCTCCGGAAGATTCCTTGGCTCGGTGTGGCGTCTTCTGATCTCCGCGCGATCTCCGTGCATTTTTACTCGCGCGGTTGACTCGGGTCTGCTTGATCTCCGGAAGATTCCTTGGCTCAGTGGTTTTGGCGATTGCGCGAGGCACCTTCTGCTTGGCTCGGGCTTTTTAGAGCGCGTTTTTTCCCGTGGGTGTGCCATGCCCCCCAAGCGATGCGCGGAGCTTGTGACGTCATTGGCTAATGCCTATGACTATGTTAGGTGTCCACGTGTCCTTGTATGGGTGGTCCGTTGTGGCGGTCGTTTTGAAATTCGAAAAAGTTCTGACGGTTGCGTTTTTCAATGCAACTTCAACCGTTCGGTTTTCTTCCCTCGGGTATAAATAGTCGGCCCTCAGGGGGGTTTGGAACCCACTTTCTTATTCTTCGTTTCTTATTCTCTCTGTATTGAGTGTGTTCGAGATTCCTCTCCTTCTTCTACAACCTCTTTTCTCAGCTTGTTGTTGTCAAACTCACGGATCTGCTATGGCTGACATCAACGTCGACGAGATCGAGGTCGTGCAAGGCGAAGAAGGTAATCTCTCCTCTCCTTCCCGTGTTTCTACTGATCCTTCGTTGGATCTTGATGATGCCGACCACGGGGGCGACGGCGGTGTTGGCGGCGACGGGGTTCCGGCGTCGCCGTCTCATGACGGCGATTCGGACCTGGATTATCGTGTCTCGTCCGATGCGGATGCGACGGTGTCTGGGAGTGGGCCGTCTGCCACTCGTGCTCGTGGTGTGTTGATTATCCGCCGCGACCGTGGGAATGCGGGCCGTGAGCGCCAGGGGTCTGGTGCGCAATCAGAGCCGCGCTTCGTCGCTCGCGTGTCCGAGGCGATTAGTCGCCTAGGGTTTTTCGGCGTGGGCGCGGAGTATAAAATAATTGATTGGGCGGAGATGTGGGGTGATCAGCCAGCTCCGCAAGACAGTCTCCTAAGGGGTCCCGATCACGTTTCAATCTATGGGCGGAGGGAAGTGACGGAGATTGTGCGCGGTTTGGGCTTGCCCCCCAATTGGGAGTACGCGATTTCCTCTACGCGGAGCACCGTCGGCAACTGCCCCGCAGGATGGTTCGGGGTGTATACCGAGTATTGGGTGATGGGGTTCAAGTTCCCCATTGACCCACTGTTGTGCGCGATATACAGGCGGCTCAGATGTTCGGTTGGGCGCTTGTCTCCCTTAGTCATTATGCACGCAAGTTGTCTCCGCCTTGCGTGTAAGAGGCTTAACATTTAACCGTCTTACGGGCTCTTTCGTAAAATGTACAAGATCAAGGAGCCCACAAGAAGGAGCGACTGTCTCTCCATTAGGCGGCGCGACAAGAGGCCTGACGGCTTTGTGTACGGGTCGCCAAAACTGAAGAAGACGTGGTTCGAGCGTTTCTTCTACGTGAAGCCGACTCCGGGGGAGTGGGCGAGTGAGTATATGGAGGAGCCCACCAATTGGAAGAAGGGCAGCACGCACGCTACGAGCGCGACTTAGGCAAATATGACAGGCTCGACGCCGAATATGAAGCGTGCATGAATCAAAAGTTTAACCTCTATGAGGGCAGGGTCCGCGAAGCTTGTTTGGCGGAGCTCTTTGCTGATGGTTAGTTGCGTCTCTTTCCTTATGCATTCTCCCATATTAACCGTTCTCTTACGATTTATTGGCGCAAGTGTTGACTTCTCCAACTTAGTCAGCATGATGTCAGTGGACGACGTGGTCGTCAAAGTTCCGCGAGCTTCGCGCGGTGGGAAGAAGAAGTCGAAGGAGGGCACGCCGTCGGAGCGCGCGAAGAGGAAGGGGATTGAGCAGCCCACAGCGGCGGAGAGATCCCGAAAGGTGGCTCGCGTTGACCCGCAACCTGAACGGGTAGTCGAGCAAGCGGCGCAAACTGATCTGGGCGCCGAGCAAGTGGTTGAGCGGGCGACACAACAGTTGCCGCTCGTAATTGTGGATGGGGATGCGGCTGGTGCGCGCGTTGATGTGGCTCCGCGTGCAGAGAAGTGGCGGCGGGAAGTTCGTCAATTATTTCCGCGATGTGCGGATTCACACTGGCGCCGCATGCAACAGCGTGGCAGCAAATACCGCGCTTCGCGCATTGGGGCCCCTCCTAAGTACTCCTGCGCGGATGGAGAAGTCCGATCCGCTGCAAGATCTGGCTCAGATCCACTTTGCGGTGAGGTTACTTTTGTTTGTTTCGACTTGTGATTCTTCTTGATAATTTATGCTAAGTCTTGGAGCGTTTGCATGTGTAGGGTCTGCTGGCGACCTCCCGAGCCCAGAAAGAGCGCGCAGCGAATCACGGAAGGATGAAGGCGGACGAGGCGAAGATCGTCCAGCTGGAGGGAAAGGTTGTCGGGGCTAACAATCGCGCCGAGGTGGCAACCAATAAAGCCAACGAGGCGATGGAGGAGCTTGGCGTCC